TACTAAAAATACAAAAATTAGCCAGGCGTGGTCACACACACCTGTAATGCCAGCTAGGCGGGAGGCTGAGGTGGAAGGATGGCTTGAGCCTGGGTGGTGGAGATTGCAGGGAGCTGAGATTGCGCCACTGCACTCCAGCTTGGGTTACAGAGCGAGACTGTGTCAAAAAGAAAGAAAGAAATAGAAAAACAATGGGGGCATGTGTGTTTGTGTAGGATCTACCTACGAACGGCTTTACGTTACCATGTCCTCCATTACAATTTCATTTCCAATGCACAGTATGACTTTAAATAATTTGAAAAACATGTTCAAATGCCTGTGGAGGCCGACGTGGTGGCTCACGCCTGTAATCCTAGCACTTTGGAAGGCTGAGGCAGGCGGATCACCTGAAGTCAGGAGCTTGAGACCAGCCTGGCTAACACGGCGAAACCCCGTCTCAACTAAAAATACAAAAATTAGCTGAGCATGATGGTGTGCACCTATGGTCCCAGCTACTTGGAAGGCTGAGTCAGGAGGATAGTTTGAACCTGGAAGGCAGAGTTTGCAGTGAACTGAGACTGTACCACTGCATGCACTCCAGCCTGGGCGACAGAGTGAGACTCTGTCTCGAAACAACAAAATGCCTGTGGAACCAGTTGTTTCTGGGTTAAACCCCTGCTTAGTCACTAGCTGTCTGACCTTTGGTTGGTTACTTAACCTCTCGGAGCCTTAGTTTCCTCATCTATCAGGGTTCAAATTTCAGCTCTACCACTTGACATGTAACTTTGGACAAAATTTTTGATCCTAATTTTCCTCATCTGTAAACCAGGGGTAACAGTATCTACCTCACAGTCATGAGGAATCAATACTTCACGTAAAGTTCTTAGCACAGAGCCTGACACAATTTCTTTCCGAAAACGTTAGCTACTATTCTAACTCCAACACCTGGACTCTGTTACTTGGTCCCTATCCTCAGGTGCTCCAGAAACGCTGAGCTTAGGCGGGCCTAACTGCTCCGGGGAAGTAGGGAGGCCAGCAAGAGGAGCTGGCCCTTGAGCTGATTAGGTGGAATCGGGAGGGGTGGGAAACTTGTTTCCTCGCTGAGAACCTGACCAGACCAGCAGTTCCCAAGAGAAGGAGCTGCGAGGGCTGTGCACACTGTAATTCCTCAGTAACTTGGCTAGCTGCCTTTTTTTCCCCCGCTGTCGTGGTTTAGTCACGACAGGACCAAGCGGAGGTACGAAGAACACCAGGAAGCTCAAAGCTTTTGGCCGACGGAGACAGGCCACACCCCAAAAAGACGGCAAGGCCCAAGCGCCTAAAGCTAGTCCTATCGCGAAATTCCTAGAGTCTGTCGCGACGAAACACCGCCCACCGCAGACCCCAGCGCCGTTCGCCAGTCTCCATCTTTAGAATTGAAAGAATGAGAGCTGGCCAAAGGGGAATCCCGGTTTGGAGAGCCTGGGGTACGGCGGCTGCCTGGGGACTAAAACGTCTCTAAGGTAAAGTTGCAGCCTGAAGCGATTTTTTGACCCCCGACACTTAATGGGCTGTCGAAGACCCGGATGTGTCTGGGACTGGCCGAGGTACCCATTAACGCGCCCCCGCTAGACCATCCCCCCTCCTCCGTTTATGATTGGGTTTTCAGCACGCCAATCATCACTTCTCCGGCCACTCATTCTTCAAGGGTGGGGTGAAGTCACAGCATCTAGCCTTCTATTGGTATGGCCGAGAAGATGAGGGCGGGGTGGCCGGCTTAGGTCGCCCAATGGGCGTCGTGGCGTGTGGGTAAGGCGGAGCCGGGGCGCTTGGCAGCTGCCCAATCAGCGTCCTTGTTTGTGTGGTGCCGCCGCCGCCGGTGCAGCCGCCGCCGCCGCCGCTGCCCCCGTCTGTACCGCAGTGTCTGCTCCGCCCGCCCGCCCCGGTCCGGCCCGCCCCCCTCCCCCACCCCCGCCCCTAGTCCCGTCAGCAGGGTCTGGATACCACTGTGCCGTCGCCTCTTCCTTTTTCGACGCCTCCGCCGCCGCCTGAGGAGGCGAGCTAGCCGGGAGTTACACCGCCACCGCCAGGTGAGGCGCTTTGGCCTAGGCCAGCCTGGCCGCCCGCCCGCCCGGGGGCGGTGAGGAGCGAGGAAGGGAAGGAGGCTGGGAGGAGGCGGTGGTGGCGGAGGTGGGGGAAGGGAAAGGTGGAGGGGCGGGGGGAGGGGAAGCGCCCGCGAGCCGACGCCCGCCCGCGCGCCCCCGCCTTGCGTCCCCCTCCCCCCACCCCGGCACGGCGCGCCCCCGCCTCGCGTTCCCTCTTCACCTCATCCTCTCCCCCCTTTGCGCGCGCGACCCGGTCTTTCACTTCGGCCTCGCGCGCCCCCAGCTCGTGTCCCTTCATTCCGTCTCCTTGTACTCTTTCTCCCCTCCCTCACGCCCCGTTTCCCCCGCCATCCCCGCTTTCACTCCCTGCCTCATGCCCGCCATGCTCCCCTCCTTTCCTCTCTAGCGCGCCCCCCCTTTTTTTTTTTTTTTTTAACTCTCTCCACCCTCAGTGGTGCCCTCAGGGTGCGGGGGCCGCTCCCTGCTCTCAGGCTTGTGTTTGCGGGCGGATGGGACGAATGGGGGAACTAAGGGTGAAGGAAGCACCAGATAATTATCTTTATTTAGGGAAAGGGATCAGGAGCTCAGAACCTTACCCCTTTATTTCGTCGTCCACCGTTCCCTCGCCTTCCCGTAGGGGAAGAGAATTGTCTCAGCCTGTGTGGGCACTTGGCTTCCACAGCGACTCGGCTTGTGGGACACACTGGATCTGTCTCCCAGTTCAGTACCTGAGGATCGGTAGAACTTACCCTTCCTAACCACACCGGGACTTAAGAGTACTTTTGGCCTCCCCACTCTCAGTTGCACTGAGGAGTGAGCCACTCCGGCGAGTGCAGAGGTTTAGGTGCCACTCGCGCGCTCGGTACAGCTTTCCCCTTTCATAGAGATACAGCATCAACTTCCAAACACAAGATGTTAGCTCATAGGGCTGGCACTGAGGTGGAGGTGGAGGCTTGGTGGTGGGTGGCATGTGGATGCTGACTGAGCTAGCTAGCAACCTTTTTCCTCTGCTGTCCCCTGCAGAATCGGGTAGCCTCCTGAGAACCAGTTTTCTCACTTCTGATAAATGCTTATTTGGAGGGTGTGTGTGTGTGTGTGTGTGTGTGTGTGAGAGAGAGAGAGAGAGACTGGAGGGGATACTTAATGTATTTCAGCAGAGGCGAAGGATACTTAATCTATCAGCAAAGGGCAAGAGCAGTGTTTTCTGGCCAGACTGCAAAAGAGAATTTGAACTTGTAGCTGATGGAATAAAAATGGGTTTAGCAGATCTGTGTTGCAGAAGAGCTGATGCTTTTGTAGGTTTTAGGGAATTTTTCCTAAAAATTTATATTTTGAGGAGAAAAGCATGCTTGTGGTGGTACAAAGTGAAAAGCAAACTTCCCTCACACCTCTGTCCTCCAGCCATCCTTTCCCTTCCCCTCCTAGTGCAGATGACAGTAGCATGGTGTCTATATGTTGTTTTCTGGCAGCAGCATGGTGTCTATATGTTGTTGGTGATTATCCTATTTGGGAATTTAGTGCTAACTTTATTGCTCTTTATTTGGTTTGCTTACCTGAACTCTTCCTTGAAGTCTGGTAACAACTTGGATTCTTATTTTTGGTACTGGAGCATTCTTTCGAGCATTGCCCTAGAGTAGTATTTCTTAGTTGGGAAGGAGGTCACTTCTGGAGGTGCTATGGAGGGGTTCAGTATATTTTGAAGGAAGGCCCATACTTGTTGTAGTGCTGCCTGTGTGTGTGTGTGTGTGTGTGTGTGTGTGTGTGTGTGTGTGACTGATACCTAGTCCCTGCAATTTGGGAATGGTCTGGGTCAAGGATCGGATTCATATAAACAGCTTATATAAATAATTTGTAGGTGGTAGAGCTGTCTTCACTTTTTAGGGGAATAGACTTTTTAATCCAGTGGCAGCGATAGTTATCATGGAACAAGGTAGAAAAGTACTAATCAGCAGGAATCAGAAGGCTGGATCTATAGGCTGGGTGACCCAGTTTGAGAAGAGGTAAGGCTTACAGACTTATGTCTTCCCTATTATTCCTTACTTGAAAACACTCTCCATGAGGTGAGAGTGATTTGTAGTTGACAGCACATCCATCTTTGTGATACTGTGGTTTGCCTCCCATGACTGTATGCGATGTCTGTTAACTTCCTGTTTAGAGGCAGTCCTACTGGGGTCTGAATATAGGCTGCATTCGAATACTTTTTTAGGAACAGTGTTAACCAGTTTCCCTGATCAGCCCTTCAAATCTAAATTCTGGCAGTAACTTTTACTGCTGTGCTTAGCATAGGGCCACAGGGTGGTTGCAGAGGGAGGTGTGAGGAATTTGTTCTGAGCCTCACAGCCTTAAATTACTTTCAAAAGCTTGTATGCTGTCTCCCATTTTGAGAGTTCATCTCCTTCTCCCCTTTTTTGCCTGGTGGGCAAGGGTGGATCTCCAGGTTGAATTTTGGGGATCATTCAGTGAAGGTATCCTAATTATGTGTTGGGACCTCTGAATTCATCTCACCTTTAAGCAGTGAGTCTTGTATGTTGCATGTAAAGCATGCCTCTTGTTTCAATTTACTGATTCTTCCTTCCTTTCCTCCCCCACCCACCAAGTTGGAGGTATATGTATAGGAAAACAGCAGCTGTGCTGTCCTGATTTCTAGACTCTGGAGCATATTCCATGTTAGCCACCCCATGGGGAGTCATGCTGACAATTAGCCCCTCTGCACTTAGCTCAGAAGGCTCATGTTGCTTGGCTCATTGAGAAAAGCCAACCAGCTCTGGTTAATTAAAACAACTGCTGGAGAAATCTGAAGATTTGAGCCATAACTGAGACTGAGGGACTTTCTTTTCTAGACCTTTGCAGTACTTCAAGCCCTACATCATTACATATCAAGGCACGATAGCCAGACATTTTCTGAGGTAGTTTGGAGGGAAAGAAAAGGTAAAGACACACACCCAGATTGACTATAAATCTAGTTCTGGCATAGAGCTGTCCACCTCTTGCTTGGGAAAAAATCCAGCCTATCAGACAATACCACACAGAGTTGCGGTACGGCTGTTGGCTAAGCCTGGGAAAAGATATATAAGGAAGTTCAGTTTCTGAAAATGACTGGATTTTGGGGTGAAAGCTTCTATTAGCCATGTTGTTTGGTTTATCCCCAGTAATCTCTGTGAAGCTTTTTCTATAGGTCCTGGTTGGGGATTTTAGTGGCTCTGGAATCCTTGAAGCAGGAACCTCCTTTCTTTGTGTAGCAGTGATGAAAGCCTCTGAGGAATAGGTCTGATTTGAAACAGACCCCTCCTCATGTTCTATCTTTTCCTTTTTCCCTTGTGGATTTATGAAATATTCCTCTATAGCTTGAATTCATCCAGTAGGAAGGGAGTGCCCCAGGGTCTTTAGGGCTTAATTTGTCTGAGGTATTTAGATGGTGGCATTGGTAATATTTGCTGTCTCTCACAAAACCCCCTTACCTTTGCCATTTACTTAAGTTACCATCAGCTGACAAGAAACTATCAACAGTTTTGGGTTATAGTACCAAAAGCAGCAGATGACTAAGAACACATCATTTGTTACTTTTGAGATATGAAGTGGTCAAATCCAGACCTCAAAGAATCACAGTGACTGCAGAAGCATCTTTGACGATGTGTGAACTTAATTGTTATTAATATTAACTAGTAAACTGCTAAGGAAATTAAGGGAAATTAAAGCAATTCCATATTCCTGAGTCATTCTCTTGTTATTTTTTACACTTGGCTAGTTCCATTTTGTTTTATTTTATTTTACTTTTTGAGATGGAGTTTTACTTTTGTCACCGCCCATGCTGGAGTGCAGTGGCGTGATCTCAGTTCACTGCAACCTTTGCCTCCCTGGTTCAAGTGATTCTCCTGCCTCAGCCTCCCAAGTAGCTGGGATTACAGTCACCTGTCACCATGCCTGGCTAATTTTTGTATTTTTAGTAGAGATGGTTTCACCATGTTGGCCAGGCTGGTCTTGAACTCCTGACCTCAGGTCTGCCTGCCGCAGCCTCCCAAAGTGCTGGGATTACAGGAGTGGAGACACTGTGCCCGGCCTTAGTATCCATTTTAAAAAATAATTCAGGATGCTGTTACCTAAAGCTGAAAGTCATGCTTTAAATCTCCTGATGAACGCTTTCTTGGGCTTGTCTCATTTGAAGGGAAGGTGGGATTTATAATCTTCCAAAATATATGCTGGAATGTTAGTAGGATTCAGTTTAGACACCAGAATTAATAAATTCTGATTATAATTGTAAAAAATTACAATGTTAACAGTAAGGCTTGGGCATCTCCTACCCAGAAGATTTGTATAAAGTTAGTGTTTTGAGAGTATTTAAATTCACACTTGCTGGAAGAGAAGGGGTAAATGAATATGTGGCAGATTGGACTCATGGAACACAGGTTGTGGAGAGCCTCAAAGTCTGGGGTTGAATTCTAGCTTTGCATTTTTTAAAATGGATAATAAGGCTGGGCACAGTGGCTCCATGCCTGTAATCCCAGTACTTTGGGAGGTTGAGGTAGGCAGATCACCTGAGGTCAGCTAACTGACTTTGGATAAGGCTACTAATTTTTGAATTCCCATTTCTCACAGACAGAGTAATGCCAGTCTTTGCAGTAGCTTTGAAGGCTTTGCATGGTTTGCTCTCCCCCACCTCTTCCATTTTTGATTGGCTGTCATCTTCCCTCTTGCTGTCTCCATTCCAGCCATACTGATGGCCCTTGAATGCAATCAGTCATACTCTTTATCTTAGAACCTTTGTAGGTTCCTAAAACCAGTGATTCCTTCTAGTGGGAAAACAGCTAGGATTGCCTTACCTCCATAACAGCTTTGCTTAAATGTCACCTTTTAAATTAAATCTTATCCTTCCTCTCTTTAAAATTGTATTTTTGGTGGGGCACAGTGGCTCATGCCTGTAATCCTAGCACTTTGGGAGGCTGAGGTGGGCAGATCACCTGAGATCAGGAGTTTTGAGACCAGACTGA